GCATGCAGCAAGTTAAGAGGGGACAGAGGGCCCTGCCATCTTGGACCAGGGTCCCTCTCATGTCTCCCTCCTGCACACTCTCCTCAGGACCCTATGGTGCAGGCTAACTTTTTTTTTTTTAAAGAATTATTTATGGGCCAGCAGGTGGCGTGGTGGTTAAGGCGCTGGACTCCCACACAGTCAACCGCAGTTTGAGTTTCGGACCAGGCGGCATGAAAATCACGCCCCATGTGTAGGCGTGCCCAAGAGGAGAAGGGATTGGAGCATGGCCATTCCCTCTGGGGGTGATTTCTCACTTTCTGTCTCTCTGGTGAGCAAACACGCCCTACAGCAAAATAATCTATTTTTAAAAAGAATTAATTCATTATTATTATTCGAGTTGACAAATGAGAGAGTGAGAAAGCAAGTTGCCAGGTCTGGGACTCGAACCACAGTTGGCCATGTGGGAGTCCGACTCTTTAACCACCATGCCACCTGCCAGCACTTCTTCCTTTTTTTTTTTTTTTTTTTGTTATTAGAGAGATTTTTGCTATAGGGCACGTGTGCTCACCAGAGAGAGAAAGTTAGAGACAGAAAGCGAGAAATCATCCCCTGGCAGGGGGATGACCATGCTGAAATCCTTTCTCCTCCATTCTCTTCTCAGGATCTGGGGCACATACGCACACGTGCCCAGCCTGAGTTTTAAGCCATGGGTCCAGAACTCGAACTGCAGTCGACTACACGGGAGTCTGGCAACCTAACCATTATGCCACCTGCTGGTCCCCTTTCCATGGTTTTCCTGGGGAAAGTCAGGGCAGGCAGGGGCACAGCGGCGGTACAACGGGTTCCACGTGGGAAGGTCCTGGGCCCGCGTGCTGGAACCTCAGAACACGTGGTGAAGCAGGCTGCCTGAGACCGGCTGAACCACAGTGTGGGGACTCTACTGGGGGTGCCCGTCTCTGGCTCGTGGAAGAAATAAATGAACAGACTTAAAAAAACAAAAGGTGAGAAACCCTGTCGCTCGCTGGAGCCCTGGAGGCCCTGGGGCTCCAGGCCAGGCCAGCAGAGGTAGGCGCTCTGGCACAGGGAGGGCGAGGGGGCCTGGCAGGGTGCGGCGCACCTGGTGAAAGCACAGCCGATGCGCAGGTCCAGCTCCTGGCGGGGGGGCCCCCCGGGCGCCCCGCGGTGGGGGG